GTATATAGTACTATAATCAAGTTTTGTTCGATAGCAATCAATTTATCCTATATCCCAACTTAAACCCTAATCTTAACGCAATGAAATATACCTAAATACCGGGCCTTTTGCATAAAAGTGCGCTTATGCTCAGACTCAACTTTGGCACTGATGAATTGAGCTTAAGCTCAATAATTTGTAGGGAAAATCGAGTCTGAGCTTAAGTTAAATTTTTGTGCATGACGTCCAGTGAGTTTAATAAAAAATACAGGTGGGACAGTCGAGTCAGGCACCTAAAAGAGAGATTAAACCCTAGACGCTTCATATATTTTTCAATTTATAAACTGTTTATAAAGCTACTTTATTTTTTATGAATAAGGCCATAAGAATGTACTTCCACACTTAAAATAAGCGAGCTGCATTAAAAAGAACTTTTAAGCGATTGGATGAATTAAAATTTTAATTGCAGTGGCAAATTTTATCTGATGATTATTCCAAGAAAAATAGAGAAATGTTTGAATTTTGTATTATGTGGAGGCATCATGCGGTTGTGGTTATTTCTTGTTTCCGAAAAATTTTGAATACATGAATTAAATATCTTTGGGGGGATCTTTTTTGGAACTATTTTGGAAAGCGAAAAACGTTCTGAACCGATCCGAAGAATTTGTAGAGTGCCTTGCCCCTGAATTTGCCCATTGGCGATATAGATTCTTGTCTGAATAGATATATACATAATGCAGATTTTTAATTCCATGAACTAAAAAGAAAACGAAACAATCGAAAAATTCCAACTTTTTCGGGATGAACAAAAAAGAGGTCTTTGGAAAAAATTCACTGTAACTTGCAATATAAATGTAAGTGTAAAATGAAATTTTGAAGGATGTTCTTGGTTCAACTAAAAGTAAGTTTGATGCTGTAGAGGAACGGCTTTGAGTAGTTTAAATATTTTGTTTAGTAGCCAGTTGTTTGGCGGTAATAATGTAAAGTGGCTTAAAACATATTGGAATACCTTAGGGATCTAATAATATAAATTAATGTTTTTTTGGCATCCCAAATCAGGACCCTCTTTTAATTGAGTAGGTACATTTATGTTCCGCTGTGTACAGGCCAGTTAGAGGTAATAATTCATCCTAGGCACGGACACTTATCTTAGTAAGCTGTTTGAACGATAGAAACTTTCTTGACGTTGACAAAACTTAGCTATGGGAAATATATGGGCTCAGGATTTTGCATCGTAGGGGCAGTTCAGGACCACTTGCAAAAGCCATCTCAGTTAATCTTTTTAACGCTAGAACCCATCTACTGAGTTCTGTTAAGTCAAATATTAGTTAACAGTCTTGGTCTACTTCATTATGGCCAGTGGCTGTTTCGATGCTGTTAGATATCTTTGAGGGAGACGTCGAATATTCCGCATGGCTCCGATTAAATTGACCTAAATTAAGATTTTTGCACAACGTTAAAGAGGCTATGACATAGAAAAGGTGAAGTAAGAAAATCTATTATGTGGTTTTTATTAATAACGCCGGTAGACTATTTCAAAAATGTTTTTATTCCTCGGAACCTAGGCTGTTGCGGTCATGTAAAACCTTGATTTTATTGACCAGTATATTGGTTAAGCGCTAATCAAATTTGGTCAAAATTTTTCAAACCCCAGATGGACGTGTACCAGAGTGCATTATATTTTTGCAGGCCATTCACATCTACTCTTAGGTCTGTATTGTGATTTTAACTGTTTTAGTATGCAAACTTCGAAATTGAAAATGCTTTAAGCGCAAAACGTAAAAAACTTTATGTTGGTTTCTTAGTCAAAAACAAAGCCGCTCAACAACAACAGACTCAAGCGAAAAAATGGAAATGCCGCGAATCATCGGAAAACTGCTATGGGAAGACACAAACGCAAGCATACAGCGAAATAAAACTCAAAAAGCAGTTAAAGTAGAATGAAATAAAAAAAATTATCCTAAGCTAAGCAGGCGGCAGTTCAGGAAAATATAAACAAATGCAATAAAAACAAAGTAAATACATGTTTAGGAGTAATATGTGGGAGTTATCAGAGCACAACGTCAATACACGGAGCATTGTTGTTATACTTATAGTTCGCCATTGTTTTTTTTTGTTTATAAAGCGCGCTCACTGTTGGTATTTATTTATTGATATTGTTAACTTTTGCGTTGTTGTTATCGCATACATTTTCCGTTGGTTTTGTTTTTGATGTTTGGTATTTACTTCGCAAGCACACTTAATTTTACATAAGGAAAATGCTGTGTTTTAATGCCAAAGAAATCGAGTAAAAAAGCATAAAAAGGAGAGTAAGTATGTGGCAATATAGAGTTTAAAATCGGCGCTGCCCAACGGTGAACTGCAGACGTCACTCAACTGATGGCAGGGGTACTCAAACTTTCTGTGAGCTTTGGCAAATGATTGTTAGGCTAGTTTTGATTTTTCATGGATGTGGACTTGAGTTCGAAGCGTATTCTGCTAATCCTAATAATATCATAAATATGAATGTTTGTATGTACCTTTGGATATTTGGGTGTGGACCACGCAATAAGTACTTAAATGTCTTGATTGAAACTTTGGACATTATAAAGGCTACGGCCTGGAATCGAGCATAGACCACTCTTTATTCCAAATAAATATGGGGGATGAAGTATATTTCGATTGGTATGGAAACACCTATACACGATTTTCAAATTTTGTATGGATACCGTATTCATATATATCTGCTCATTATTGGGTAAATAGAGATGAGTTTGGATCAGGGGCGTGGCACCTCCCATTTCCCTGAAATTTAAAATCAGCTTTAACAGCCCAACGGAGGAGCTCAAACTTTCCGACCGCGGAATAGAATTATCGTAAAAGGTTACATGAAATAAATATGGTTTACGCCAGTGTACTGAAGAAACCGCTTTTGACAAAAACTCATGTCGAAAAACGATTGCTCTGGGCAGAGCAAAATAAAAACCGCGACTGGACAATTGGTTTGGTCGGGAAGAGGATGTAAAGTTGTGCAGAGGCCCGTTCAAAATTCCGCAAAGGTTCACGTTTATGGTTGTTTTTCCGTAAAGGGCTTCGGAAAGTTATAGTGCTTTACTGAAAACTTGAACGCGTCAAAAATGATCGAATTGTATGAAAAAAGGCTTACTGATGTCTGCTGAAAAGCTCTATGGAGAAATAGTCTTGACTGGGTTCTACAAAAAGACAACGATCAAAAGCATCGGAGTCGCCTTTGTATAGAGTGGAAACAAAAAACAATGGGGTAACAACAATGGATTGGCCATCCCAGTCCCCTGATGCAAATTCCATAGAAACAAAAAAAAAAATAGACAAAAATAGAACAGTTGAAAAGTGTACTTAAAAAACTTACTTTACTATCAGAAAGCTGGAAATGGAGATGTCAATCCATATTAAATAGTAATGATGATTAGACAAGCTATTAACTTAGAACTCAAAGCTGTTTATAAAATACGTTTTAAAATAGATATTGAATTTGTTTGTAAAATTGACATTTATCACTTTTATTTATGTTTGGATTTAGTGAAAAGACTGTAACTTAGAAATGTTTATTAATAATCTTAACTCCAAACACAGGCATGGTGCGTTCGACTTGGGGTAATTCATTCACTATGCAGTGTTATTTGTCTGATGAAATTTTCTAAACAATTTTACAATTAGTTCCCACTTTTCCATTTTTAGACATATCATCGCCTGGTGCACAATATCTCGCATCCGCCAAATGGAGTACCTCTTATAAAATTTTACAAAATGGGATGGCATATTACTTTCTGCCGAGCGTTTCTCAGGAGAGGAAGGCGTCATATTTAGAATCGCTTACAATGAATCGCTAGATACTAATCACTTTACCCATTCAAGAAATTTTGTCGTTTTTGCTTAAAATAAAAGACTTCTTAATAAGACTACATGAGTGTGGTTACGATGGCGTAAATAGCCTGGGAGTTGTATAAATTATATAGGATGCACCATTCTGGCCTGATAAAAGGGTTAGAATGTTTCGACGACAATGAGACGTCAGATAAAATTAACTTACTAACAAAGATGAATAAACGTATTTTCGGAGCTCACGTTTTTGTCTCCATTGAATATCCAAACGAATTTATAAACCTTGTTGGAGATGCCTGCAGCACTTTATCAGGATCTCATTAAAATCACAAAAATAGATCATAATTTATTCAGACTAACTAAATTTATCATTGCTTGGTTCAATTTAGTCGATATTGTATCACATTTTTTTTTTTTTAAAAAACATCCTTCTGCTAAAATAAAAAAAAAACAATGTTCGGGAAAAACTGATACTAAGAATTATATTTGAGCTCGCACAGTTCTCATATGTTAGCAACTAGTATTGTGGACTTACACTTTATCTAATTACTTTATCCTGTTAAACAATTTCACCAGCACTTTCTTTTAAATCGTCTTACTAAAGCGGCGAAATAAAAAAATTGCTGATACAGGCCAGAATATAAAAAAGCGCAGAGTGGCTAGAGATAGATATGATTTTTTTTTTTTTTCAAAAAGTTTGAGCACATCTGCTGTTACAGTTCAAGCACCCGCAGCCACCTTCAAACAGCTGGCCACGGCTGCGCATGTGCAATGCATTGACTTAAAGCGAGCAGCACGTTGCATGCACGCTTCCATTGTACTACACAGCCAAAAGCATGCATATACATACATACATATATAAGTATATATATATAAGTAATTGCTGCAACAGTTGTCATTTTCGAAACTGCACTGCAACACTGAACTGAATTAAATTTATTGCGCAAAATTATTCAACAAAATTATTCAGCGAAATTACATAAGCGCAATTCTTCAGCTATTATAGCATTTTACAAGGCATAAGCGTAGGCATTTACATACACATTAAGAATGTCTGTTATGCGATGTTGCAAAATTACTTAAAAGGCATTTACATAACTTTTTGTTCGTACTTTGCTTGTCAACTATTTTTTTGTTTGTTGCATATAAGCGTCTCCCACTCACTTGTGTCTTCTACTCACTTGTGTTATTCACTTGACCCGCATGCGTATCCTCGGCATCGAGGTCTTTGTCCACACAGCATGACCAGATCATGCCGCCCGAGCAGAGATCAACCGGCTTACCGCCGCCCAGCACGCATGAAATGGAGAGACCACACTCGAATTTGTGTCCACGAAAACGACAACTCTGCGGAATCACTGAAAAGGAAAAACAAAAACAAAAAAAGCGTGGGAAAAGAAGAGAAAAAGAAGAAAAAGAAAATAAATTAGCCAATAGAAATTATATCGCTCGTATAAAGCTAAGTAATAATAATTGTAAAGTTGTGTTGCATGGATGCGTAGTAAAGTTGAGGTGAAGAAATTATGAAAAAGTAGCAAAGCATGCGAAAAATGATTTTAGTGAAAATATATCAATGTACGCGTAGATATGCGTCATTTAATGTAGTTAGGGTGCCGGCAACAAAAGTTCAAATCAGTTTTATATTTTCATTTGAAGATATTTGTGACAGTATAAATATTGATATGCACTTAAATTTTTTTGGCAGATTAATAATGATGTAAACGGAGGATTCTTTAATCAAATCTACTGATTTTTTAAGAGAAGTTAATAACTTCATTGACAAGGATTTAGGAGGTGAACGATCTCGTTATAGCGTTGTAGAAAAATAATCAGTAATAAAATGAGAATTAATAGCAATCGTTAATAACCAAAAAGTTTTCTTTTATTGCTCGCATTGCAACCGCACTTGCATCACAGCAGTTTTATTGATAACAATAAACTTTTAATAACATCTTTCGTAATAAAAGATGAAAATTAAAAGCACACATAGCTTTTAAAAGCAATGACAATTTCAAAAAAAAAATTAAAATTTTATGTTTTTTCATAAAGAGAAGTTTATTCAACTATCGCAACTTATTAACACCAATAAACAAGAGTAATTAAGGAGGAGCCCGTTGTTTTTATTTTGGGAATGAAAAAATGAATTTATGTCTTCCTACTTGTTATGATATTTGATCTACTTGGTACAGCAAAATGTTTGGGAACAAAGTATTTATCTAATAAAATGAGAACAAGTGAATATTTTTAGACTTATTTTCTATTTTTTTTTTTGTAAATATAACCCAATGCCTAGATATTGTAGTTCACTGAAATGACCTCGACTTGCATTCTAGTAGCGGTAAAGTCGCTTTGGTCACTCATTGATCGCAGTATAGGTGCGTCTCACTGCTCGAAAAAGGACGCGCTTAAAGGGCTCAGCACTTGCTTGCTTCCCGAATGGCTATAGTCCAATGGCTTGAGATCTGGGCTAATAGATGGCCAACAGACCGAAAAAATGTACTTTGGGATCTTATTTTGTGTCGATTTTGACCTATTAGCTGGAGAGGAGTTTTGCTGAAACCATCAAAAATAAGTGGTAGCTGGATAATGGCCATCTTGAAGCCTCGGAATGAGCTCATATGAATTTTGAGATGGCACACCTATTTATGTACCATCCCTTATAGTTCTGTTTATTTAACGTTTTTTCGACTGTGAAAATGTTCTTTTGTAAGTCTTATATTTAACAAAAAACTTAAAAAGATTTACAATCTTTAATAATTCTAAATTTTATAAAATTTTTTGAATTAATTTATTCAACAATCAACCAAATACTGAAGAGAAAAATATGTCAGTAATTTCAGTGGCTTCCATGGACGTCGCACTGATTTTAATTTTTTTTTATATGTTGGAAAGTATTCAGAAGAAGAGTTCATAATGCAGTTTTAGATACATGAGTTATAAATTTAAGCAACAATGAAAGCCATTGTTTTGGTCCCTTAAAGTCGGGATCCTCTTTCAAAGGCTGATCTGGCAGACACAAGCCAAGATTTTTGAGCTTACTTCCAGAGGCTAATTCAAGGGCATCCTATTAAAAAGCTTCAGGAAATCAAGGACTTTTATTCAATACCCCATATTTGCACTTTTCACGAATATGAGATTCTGATATAAGAATCCACCTAACACTTAACTGTCATCGGTGGTATTCATGCTGACCTTGTGTAGTGCTTGACAGAAGAATTTACTATTAAATTGAAAAGTCAGAATTAACATGAGTGATGCCAGGTAAGTCCCAGATGGGTTCTAACATTACAAAGTAGTTTAGAATATAAGCCCTGGATATAAAAAATTTAACATGCTGTCACTTACTTACTGATTTGGAGAAATTCTAAGTTGCAATACATTTGGACGAACATTAAAAAAAATTTATTATTTTTTCGATCATCAAGGATCATTTTTTGCTGAAAGGGAAAAATAACCCTACCCAAAAAGACGTACAAATACTATGCAGACACAAGACTACCAGTTTAAGAAACTAAAAAGTGCTTTTCTAAAGACCGTTGTGGCCGTACCAATACAAGTCGACCAAAAAAGTAGTCCTATCGCAATAAATGGCCTATAAAATTAACGAAATGATATTCTACATTAATATGTATGCACGTTTTGTAATTGTGAACGAAACATTGGGGTTACCGTGCATCAAAGTAGGAGAAGGCGGATATGTCTACCAACCGGGTCCTGGTCACCGTTTCTTGGCAGGCAAGCGGTGGCATTCACATCGATTATTTTTTTTTGTAAAAATGTCAAAATTGTCTAGTTTTTCTGTTGAAAAGTTAAAAGGAGCAAGCTTTGGAGTAACTAAACTACAATCCGCTTTCTCTCTTTATTGAATTCTGCCCTCGTAATGGTAAATGGATCTCAAAAGCTTATTTAAATTAAATTTTTAAGAAAGAAAAAATTAAAAACAACTTTTCTTTTTCAAATTTTTTTTTAGACAAATGTTTGTTATGCTACTTATTTAAAACAACTTTAAAACTCGAAAAAAATTGCCTGCGTATCTACCGTTCAACACGTGGCACAGACAATATTTTTTCACCTGTTAAGCAGTTGTTATTTTTTTACACAAGCAAAATGCACCGATATTTGAATTTAAGTTTTCTTTATCAATTACCAATGACAGAAAGTTAATTTTTGCAAGTGCGCTGGTATCTCAGACTTTAATCGTTAACATACGGACATCGGGGTTTTGTACGGGAACTCGAGAATAATCTTCCTACCAGCAAAGGAAATGATTTAAAAAACAAAAGAAAAAAATATGTATTGTCCTATACTAACTAAACTTTTCAAAATATTAGGAAGATAACTTGAATTGACATAGTGCATTTTAATACATTTCTCAAATCTGCGTTATGTAATAAAAAAAAATATAAAAATAATATAAATACACAAAATTTGTGACCTCAGAAGACAAAGCCTAAAACGCGAACCGAAATTTGTTCATCTCTTTTAGAAAAACGTTTTTCTACTATAGAGTTGAATTGAAAGAAATAAATTAAAATAAATATTCATTGCTTTAAACTACTTCTCGCCAGCATATCCATGACTGAATCCTCGCTGTAGTAGCCACCACCGCCGCTGCTGCGTCTCGACAGTGCATCCAATATCAGCATATCATGCTCCTGTGCTGGACTGGGATGTGCCAAAGTATTTATGTTGCAGATGTGCAAAGTTAGGCAAAGCACAACGTGTAGCACTCGCAGCCAAGTATCCTTATTGGCATAGCGTCTTCGGCGAGTGAACTTTGACATTTTGTGATACTATAGTTAAACAAAACACTTCACTAAGGAAAATTTGTTGAAAAGAAGCACTTTTTTTCAATAAAATTTAAAGGCACTACGCTTTAAGACGTTGCAGACTCATAAGCGTTGCAAATTCCTGCGTGGCGAGGACTTTCACTTTCTGTGTCGTTACTCGAGCAGCAAAGCAAATAAGCAAAACGCGCATACACACACACACACACACACACACGCGCGCGCGATGATAAAGTTTTGCGCACCGAAAGCAAAAGTGGTGGCAATGACTACGAAGATGGCATGCGAATGCGTAGTGGCAACAGTGGAGGCACAACAACACTATGTAATTACACTGAAACTTTCTTTTTGGTATTTTGATACAATTGGATGCAAAATTCGGTTACACTTTATACTCGTTTATGCTTTAATTTTTTAGGTTTTTCAATAAATTCATTTTTAGCTTTTTTGGTTTTTAATGCCGCTAGCTTAATTTCAAAGTGTTAAAGCCAAATCCTTGCAATCACTTTATATTTTTTCCAACACTTTATTTGTTGCTATTTAATTTAGTAAATTATTATTATTTTTTTTTATTTTGTAATTTTCGTTTGTTTCATTTCACATCCAAACACTTTCTGTTATTTCATATAATTTGCATTTATTTTGCCTTTTAAAATGCACTTAAGCACGCTAGTCACCACCACCGCATTACCACGCTTGCCACAACAACCGTTCAGCGGAAAATTTAAGTCAGAACTAAAGTCAGGCAAACACCAGCGACGAGCATGTAGCAGCTAGCTAGCTTGCCACAAAAGCATGCGGAATGTACTCTGCAAGCAAGCAGCAACGAAGAAATGAGTCAAAGCGCTGTGAAAAACATAGTAAAGAAATCAGCTAAGCCAAGTTAAGAAAACACATGGCTCAGGCAAAAGTCGCTCTGCAACTTCTTTCGCCGCATTTCTTTCGCTCATTTGCCAACTAAACTCAAACGATCGCTCTCTGAGTGCAATAAAAGTTAACAAAAGCTGCCAAAATTTGAGTCAAATAAACGAAATGTTGCTGGTGAGCAATTAAAAATTTCGAACGATGTTTTGTTTGAGATATTTTGGCAATCTGTAATATTTTTGTGAACTCAAGTTTGTGCCTTAAGTCTTTTGTTTACTTATTTTCACACAACAGCTATGCTTGGGGAAAACGCTGGCTTATCGCAGTTATAAATAAGTTGCACGCGTTGTTAAAACAATTTCGAAGCGTAGCGATTTTGAGCTTGGTGCCGATTTTAAATGCATATTACGAGGTACATAGCTGATTTATATACGTCGAGTTCGTTTCTTAAGTTTTTTTTTTTAGTAAATCAGAGGCCTTTGAAATTCGTATGGTGCAGTAATGTTTCTTGCTCATTTGGCCTTGTCTCATTCTCGCCTTGCATTTATACCTTCTTTTTCCCAAACTAAAATAACTCAAGATTACGCTATTGTTTTTATATATTTTGCGTTTCTTTACTTCCTCGCTTACCTCAGCTTTGCTATCGCTGTTGTGTATGTAATTTCCAGCTTAATTAACATTTAGTATTTTATTACCATTCTCTTTAG